TTGTGCAATAGTGCGGCAAGTCCAGACACAAATGGACCGATTGTTGGTCCAGGGAACCTACTGTAGTCCGAGTGGCAGCAGTGAGGGTACAAAAGCGGAAACGAGGAAATGGCAAGTCCAATCCTCAGAAGAAAGCTAAAGTGGCTGCTGTTGTAGCAGAGGAACCACTTGTTGTACTCCCAGAGGTTACAGGAGATTTCGTCTTTCAGCCTGAGCAAGACTCGGACAATGAAATCATCTGGTAGAAATGTCTGTTTAGAGTCTATGTTTACTAGTTTTCTTTTGGGTCTCGATTTCTTTGTTTCTCTTGAATAAATTATTGTGTTTTTCGCCTATTTGATTGTTTCCAAGCACTCTGAGGATGGGTTTACGACCCGAAACAGCTGGTCTGTAAGTGCTCTGCCAAAGTTACATTTGCTACAAGACACTTCCAGCCCGCTACCAGACTTCCACACAATACACTTGCTATATTATCGCTTGGGAATAGAACCAAAGGATCTGTTGATCTTAGTAGTGCCCGCAGCTATTAGCAATGGAGAAAAGACAAAGAGAATCAAGCTTAGAATCCGCACAGAAGCGAAGAAGGTTGGAAGAGAAGCTCCCATCCTTACCAGTACATGGCAAGAGGCCAATACTGAAAGCAGGACTGTCATGGACGGTCAAGAACAAAGTTGAAGACGCCCAAGGGACATTCCTCTTTGACACCGGTTGTACAGGAGCAATTCTCAACCAGAGTTTTGTCAGGAAGCATGGGGTTCCCTTAGTGCGGCGAGATCAACCTCTGACAATGTATGATGCTCAAGGAGATATCATGATGGGTGGAGGAGAGTACTACACTCACCCAATCCACATGAGCATGGGAGATCATAGGGAGACACTCCGATGGGAAGTGGCTACTTTGGAAGAAGGAATATCCGGCTACCTGCCAATTGCGTGGGCAAGGAAGCATAACCCGGATATCAATTGGGAACTCAATACCATAAGCTGGCGAAGTGACTACTGCAAGCAGAACTGTCTCCCAGCAGCGATCAAGTTTGAACTCATCTCTTCATACCAACTGATGGAAGAAGAGGATGTAGTGTATCAACTGGCCGCTTCAGTATGGCATGATGAGGATGGAGGAGATATCTCTGAAAGGATAGCTCTCCGCTATAGGGAATGGGCTGATGTCTTCAGTCAAGAGAAGATACAGGAACTGCCTCCGCACTCCCGAAATGATTTGAAGATCAATCTCTTGTCTGGTACCGCTCCCCCATTTGGCCCCCTATACCCATGTTCCGCTCCAGAGTTAAAGGCTCTCCGGGAGTACCTGGACAAAGAGTTGTCTTTGGGAAAGATCTCCAGATCTAATAGCCCAGCAGCGGCGCCCATATTGTTCATACCCAAGAAGGATGGAACATGGCGAATTTGTGTTGATTATAGAGGATTGAACAAGGTCACTGTCAAAGACAAGTACCCGCTGCCCATCATGAGCGAGCTCAGGGATAGGTTGTTCAAGGCCAAGATCTTCACAAAGATAGACTTGAAGAATGGCTTCAATTTGATCAGGATAGCAGAAGGGCATGAGTGGAAAACCGCTTTCAGAACCCGCTATGGACTGTATCAGTATAATGTGATGCCATTTGGTCTATGCAACGCCCCTTCCGCCTTCCAGGCAATGATCAACGATGTGCTAAAGGAACTACTGGATGAAGGAGTAGTTGTCTATATTGATGACATCCTCATTTACTCAGAAACCGAGGAAGAGCATGAAAAGCTGGTTGAGAAGGTCCTACAGAAGCTCAGAGAAGCAAAACTGTGTGCCTCCATCAGCAAGACATCCTTCCATGTCCGAGAAGTAGAATACCTTGGCTATCACATCTCGGAAAAAGGAGTGTCTATGTCAGAGGACAAGGTAGAGGAGGTTCAGGAATGGCCAGTACCCCGAAATATTAAGGGAGTACAAGGTTTCCTAGGATTTGCAAACTTCTATCGCCGCTTCATTGAAGGCTTCAGTAAAGTTTGCAAACCATTGACCGACCTCTTGCAAAAAGACAAGAAATGGTATTGGACCGCAGCCTGCGAACAAGCATTTGAGGAACTCAAGAGGCTATTCACAAGCGCTCCAATCCTTCTCCATTTTGACCCTAGCAGAAGAACTGTGGTTGAAACTGATGCCAGTGACTTTCCAAAGGAGCGGTGCTCTCTCAGTATGGGGAAGATGGGAAACTACACCCGGTAGCTTTCTATTCTAAGAAGTTCTCCCCGCTGAGATCAACTATGACATTCATGATAAGGAAATGGGAGCTATTGTAGCCTCTTTCCGGGAATGGGAGCATATGCTCAAGAGTTGCGAGCATGAGATCACGGTTTTACAGACCACAAGAACTTAGAGTATTTCAAATCTACCAAAGTTCTCACTAGGCGGCAAGCTAGATGGTCTGAGGACCTAGCAGGCTACAATTTTAAAGTTGTCTACAGACCGGGAGAGAAGAATGGCAAACCTGATGTGCTATCAAGGCGTTGGGACCACCGCCCTGAAGAGGGGGGTGAAACCTTGCGGCCGGAGCCACAGATGTTTTTTAGGCCAGGTCAATTGGTTTTGGATCCTGTTAAGCTAGCGGCTGTCAGGGTGAATCAATTGCAGAATACATTCTTAGAGCGCCTATGTATGGCAGCTAAAGAGGATGGAATCTGGCAGGAACTGCACCGCTCCCTGGTTGAAAGGAAACCAAACTTGGACCAGAACTTGTCTGTCAAGGACGGCCTCATCTTCTACAAGAATCGATGGTACATTCCTAAAGACAAGAAGCTCCAGATGGATATCCTGACCGATACCCATGACTCTAAAGTGGCGGGCCATTTCGGCCAGTTCAAGACATTAGAGCGGGTGAAAAACAACTTCTTTTGGCCCAACATGGATAAAGAAGTTGAGGAATATGTCCGGAGCTGTGACAGCTGTCAGAGGAATAAAACCTCAAGACATAAGAAGTTCGGTATGCTCCAACCACTGGAGATACCTTATCGGCCATGGACTTCCATCTCTATGGACTTTATTGTGGGATTACCGGAGTCAAATGGGTTTACTAAGATCTGGGTAATAGTGGACCGCTTCTCAAAGATGGCACATTACATCCCACTTCCTACACTCAATAAAACGGAAGATTTGGCTAAGTTGTTCTTGAAGGAAGTCTGGTGACTCCATGGTTCGCCTGACGATATAGTCTCGGACAGAGATAGCAGGTTCATCTCTCACTTTTGGCAATCTCTCATGAGCCTCCTCAATGTGAAGCTGAAAATGTCCACTTCTTTCCATCCCCAAACGGACGGCCAGACAGAAAGAGTTAACCAGACCCTGGAACACTACTTGCGGAGTTATTGTTCATATCAACAGGATGACTGGGCAGACCTCTTGCCTTTGGCAGAGTATGCATACAACTCGGCGGTCTCTGAGTCTACCAAAGTATCGGCTTTCTACGCCAACTATGGATATGAACCCAGAACCAACTGGCCGGCCCCAAAGGAAGGTGTTGAATGGAACAATCCAGCAAGCGAGGTCATGGTCTCTCAATGGGAATCTATCTGGCAGGCTATGAATGCAAGCTTGGGAAAGGCTAGACTAAGGATGGCCCGGTGGTATGATGCACATGCCCTGGCACCGCCTGAAATCAAGTCTGGAGACGAAGTTATGCTAGACCGGCGCAATGTGCAAACAAAGTGGCCATTGGGAAAATTGGATCAGAAGAAGATGGGACCCTTCAAGGTCTTAGAAGCTATTGGTACCCGTGCCTACAAGCTCTCTCTTCCCCCGCAAATGGGAATCCACCCGGTCTTCCATGTCTCTCTCCTGGAACCCTATAGAGCGCCAGTAGACCCTGAGAGAAGAGTTCCCCCACCGGAACCTGAGGAAATTGCAGGAGAACAGAACTGGATCGTCCGAGAAGTAGCTGATAGCCGGGTCAATAAGAAGAGGAGAAGGGTGGAATACCTGGTACTATGGGAAGGATATGAGAATGAGGACGCTACATGGGAACCCTGGGAACATCTCAGGAAGAGTGCTGAAGAAGCCCTCCGGGATTTCCATATGAGGTACCCTAAGAAGCCCAGAGATAAGAGGGCTCTAGGCCAGTAGCATTTCCTTTAACATTCTCGTCCCCTTCCACACCAAAGGAATTTTCCTTGTCATATAGTATTGCATAGATAAATAGATACAGATTATAGATCTCGGAGACCAAGATCCTGGAAGAGGGGAGTAGTGTAACGGAGCCATTTCAACTGTCTGGTGTATGAGTACACACAGGGCCCGGTTACATGCTGAGAGTTATTGTTAGAAGCCAGTTGCACAGTGACATGCAAGTACCGGCAGTGTGGTTAGCTACCAACTGTCAGAGTAACTACATTCTGCGCGCTAGGAAGAGGATCTACTCATGGGAGCAACGACTGACGAGTCTGTGCCTCGCCAATGATTAGAAGGCTAGCCAGAGTGAAGCTCTGAGTGCTCAGCGATCCTCCACATCCTCTGAGCATTGGAAAGTCCGCCAGCAGTGGAAGAGACTATGCCTGGGAAGTCTACAATAAGCGGAAGCTCTACAGCAATGATTAAGCTTACACCTGAGCGACAGCTCATTCATGCAGGCCCCTAGTTGTGTGGCAACAAAGGCTGCAGGTGTTACAAAGGCTTTGACTAAGGGTGGTTGCCTTCGGAATTGGAAGCACTCGCTGACGCTTAGAGAGAAGCGGGGTAGCGATGGTATTGCTTCCCTTCCACTAGGAGGCAGCACCGGAACTTAGTAAGGAAGTAGGAGCAGAGAATAGAATCCTTTGGAGTATAAGTACTCAGGATCATTCCCGCCCAACGGACCAGATCCTCATCTTCGAGTAGACCATTATCGGTAGCAGAGCCCTTAAAGATTATTGAGTTCTAGCGATAGTATCTTTGAATAAATCTGCACCTGATTTCTATCTTGCACGGCCGCATCTATTCTATTGGATTCTAGCGATACATAGATAGGCTGCCCCCGTTACACACGAGGCCTATGGAGCACAGCACAAAGCCTCAAAGGTTTGGCTTCACTGGTCTTGAGCCAGGCCTCCAACTCCTCCGCGTCGCCAATAAGAACATTTTCCGGATTAAATGCATACGCTGCCCCAGCCGTCCTAGGGGGTCCGTTTGACATGGCTCCGTAGAAGGCCCGGATGACCCTCGGGGGCAGACCGTCGGCAACTTTTGGGACACGCTTCATTGCGACCTTGGCCAACTCTGCTAAGGACACCTCCTCGAGGACGCCTATAGACACCGGTAGTGCTGCTGGACCGTACCAGTCAATCTCACGGTAAGTGTAACAGGGCCACAGTAGGGCTGTTACAAAAATACCTGTTCTACCAGTCAAGCCATACGGCCCTAGGTTAACCGCAGCTTGTTTTTCATCGATGGGTGAAGACAAGGGCAGATGAGCCCCTACCTCGATTGGTAAAGAGGGTAGAGATCCTGGCGAGCAGGAAGTCTTACAAGTCAAGCTAGGCGACTGGACCAAAACTAGAGCAGTAGGACGAGCATGACAAATAAGGAAGGGTAATCCCAAACATAAGTTACCCTACCCTGGCAGTCAATCTTTGAGGCGCAATAACTTTGCAACCGATGCCCGAAAAATATGCTTTACCACGTCAGAAAGGATCCTGACGATGCTCCGGTCCATTTGGGGTGGTTGAATGAACGCATTGCGGAGTTGAGGAAACACTGCAAAATAAACACGTTTTAGACCCCCAAAAATAACCCCCGGAGCGTCGAACCGCCGGAACCCTCCTGTTTCAGTCCGGTGAATCTTTGGGGGGGAGTAAGAGTGCGACCCAAGCTACCAGAGCAAACCTTTGCTTTAAAAACACCCAAATCTATTCTAAATACTCTGAATGAGCAATTGCTGTCTGGTCGGCTGTTTCCTCTAGTCCTAGGATCCGGACCCGTTCTTGGCAGGGATTGCGAGATTTGACTCGGACGAAAATTCGTCCGCGGTGTGGTAGCAACTCTTCTCCTCCCCCCTGATAGAAAATAGGCGGTGCCCCCAGATTATTTGAAAGGCGGACGGCCAGTGAAGAAAGAAAAGAGGGAATGAAGGAAGGGGCGCCGAACTTCCATAAAGGAACTCGGTTGCCCCAGGTTGATCTCGGGGGGATCAGCGAGTCTTTACCCGCGAGGTGACCCCTTAAAGTTATTAAGTTTCTAGACTACAAATAACGATCAAAGAAATAAACTCTATCTTTCCATCGAACGAGCCGAAATGATAGCTTGTCCTATTCCTTTCTACCTATCTACCTGATCGAAGTCACGGTCGTGCCCCATCATGGCACCCCCGTTACAGTAAGCCGCGCTGACGACGGCTCCCATCTTCGTTGGGTCAATAACATGTACAGTTATTGCAGGCCTGTAGGGTATTCCCATGGCCTTCCAAACCTCTGCCGCAGCCAAGGTGGGATTCTCGTTGGACTCGCCTCCCCCCTCATTGATCTCGGCTAAAGTCCTGGCTCCACGGGTGTGGGATCGGTCGCCAATGAGATAACCGAGGGCTGCTTTGATCTTCTCGGAGGCCTCCGAGCCCTCCCTCATGTAACTTTGCTTTAAGGCTTTGAGAACTTTGTGATTTATAAGCCAATCCCTCAATTGCTCGAATAAATCAAGTCCAGAGGTTGTCTTGTTGACACGGCCAATTCTTGTCATTTCGTTACTGAGCGCAGTACGGAGAGCCCTGTAGACATCATCTCTTCCGGTAAGTTGCAGAATCTCCCTCATCTGTTCAATACTGGTAATCTTATAGGCAGCTGAGGTTCTTCCCCTGCATGGTGGCATGATTGGTGAATCGGCTGAAGCCTTTTGAGCCTTTTCAGGGGTCGCAGGAGCCTTTGAACGAGCCTTTGCTGATTGGGGTTCGTCGGGTTCGTCGAGGATAGTTGTGTCGCTTTTGGTGTCGCTTTCTTCGGGATTACCAGTATATTCAAAGGGGGGTCGACTCGGAGTTGGGGGTTTGGAGATTTTGCTTTGTTGCTCTTCTTGCAAGGCGGAGCGGCCTACCTCGAGGTTGGATGCGCGTGGTCGAGAGCCTGTTAGGCATTCGGGTCCAGGAGAGGCTCCACCAGAGGCTTCCGGGAGAGATTCTGTATCGACTCTACTAGCTCTGCTTGCAATTTCTGGTACAACTGTTTTTGTTGCAGCGAGGGTGGCGTGGTGGTCCTTGATTTGCTGTATGTGTGCTTCGTACGCTGCTAGGAGAGCGACCGTGTCAAAGTCTTCGAAATCGTTGTCTTCAGAGGCCTGGGAGTCCTCTTCAACTGGAGGTGGTTCTTCGCCTTCCTCGAGATAGTTAAATGCTAGTACCAAGCGGTCCGCGTATGCCTGTGTGCTTTGAGAGGCTTGGGGAGATTCCGGAAAGGCCTGGTCTTCGACTGCAGGTACTTCTTCTGCAGGTGCTTCTTCGGCCGGAATGGATGCTTCGACTGGAGGGTTGACGAAGGCCAGAGGGGGTGCTATTGGGGTTGGGGTGGATTCGCTAATGCGCGGACGTTTGCGTTCTCGTGAGTCTTCGTCGGAGGAATACCAAGCTCCAGGGCAATGGGGGAATTCTCCCAAAGGTCGAGTCTGTGTATAGATATGTGAATGGTATGTATTTAGAGTTAGAAAGGTCAACGTACCATTTTATATATCCGTGGGTTGTATTCAAGTGAACGTTAGTTGAAATCCTGACCCTAGCTTAACTTGGGGGCCTGGGGGAGTATCAAGAGTGCGAATGGCCTACTAGAAAGCTCCGCGAGCGTATAGGGGGGTGCCTATATATTCTCCTAGATGAGGATCCTATACTACGTCATATATCGAGTTGGTATTGTTTGCTGAAGTTGGAACATGCTATATCACTCGGGTTGGTGGTTCGGACCTTTTCAAAGGCCTAACAAACACATTTATGAGCTCAATAAGCCTAACCACCATGCACTAGGTCAGTTTTTGGTTTAGCGTGTGGAGAGCTATTTGCCAAGACTAGGTTGACAAATCATTTGTGCCAAGTCATTTCTTTTGTACGGCTTTCAGAGCCTTTTAGATGGCTTTAGGAGCCTTTTAGATGGCTTGAGGAGCCCTCCCGGACACCTCTGCGTTAACGGAGTCAGTTTTGGTTTAGTGTGTGGAGAGCTATTTGCCAAAACTAAGATGACAAATCATTTGTGCCAAGTCATTGGAGCTTTTTGGATGGTCTTAGGAGCCCACCCTACACCTCCGCGTTAGCGGTAACATCAAATATCAATCAACAATGAGATCACGATGCCCTTTCTGCATAAGGAGCTACGCAAGTCCTGGTAGTTTCGATCGACATCTTTCAAGAGTCCACGCAGAGAAGGCAGTTGAATGGTACAACAGTCAGCTTACACGCCGTGCTGAGGATTCGGTGAGCCTTGTAGAAGGCCCGGGAGGACTATACGGAAACGAATTGTTGAATGTTGGGACCTTTTCCTTGGGTCCCACGAGCGTAGACCAAAGCGAGTCTGATAATGAATCAAACGATGACACAGACTCGTTGACAGAACGAAACAGCATGTTCAGACTAGTAACTACCGTGTATGAGGGTGCAGGGGAGCAACTTTTCCCCTCCACAGGATATTCCGAGAGCTCAGAGAGCCTTCTGTCCAACCCGTGGCAACCGTTCAAATCAGCAAAGGAGTTTGAATTATCACGTTGGTTCCTGCGATCCCACGTATCGCAGGGTCAAATAGACGATTTTTTTCTAGCGGCAGGCGCAGGGAAAGGCTCCTACCACAATGGAAAAGGCTTTACACACCATCTTGATGAGATTGTTTCTAGGGACGGTTGAGGAAGAGAAAGTTGGATGCACTCAGAGGTCGAGTTGGGGGGCGAGAAGATTGCATACTATTACCGGGACCCTATTAGTGTGGTACGATTCCTTCTGGGGCAACGTGCATTCAGAGAATCTTTGGTGTATGCCCCAACCATGGAGTACAATGAGCTAGACGAGCGAATGTACGGTGAAATGCATAGGGCAGACTGGTGGTGGGAGATGCAGGTTTGTAAAGCCCTGGTGAATGCTTACTGAGCCTTTTCTAACAGAGGTTAAGAATACTCTGCCAGAGGGATCAACAGTGGTACCAGTGATTTGCGCATCAGATGGAACGCACCTAACGAATTTCAGTGGTGACAAGAAGGCCTGGCCTGTTTACTTAACGATTGGAAATATCACTTCAGAAATACGCAATAAACCCTCCAGTTTTGCATTCATACTCCTGGCTCTTTTACCGGTTCCACGGAAATTGGGAGTACGTGCAAATGAACAGCATCGAGAGAACCAGATGGCTCTTCACAAAGTTTTGGGAGAGATTTTGAAAGGCCTTCGGGGCCCTGCACAAAACGGTGAGCTTATAGCGTGCGCTGATGGCTACGATCGCCTGTGTTTCCCTATACTATGTGCCTGGGTTGCCGATCAGCCAGAACACGCCACGCTACAAAATATCAACAATCATGCCTGCCCACGATGTGAGGTTGATTTCAAAGGCTTGGGAAGCCTTCACGAAAGCCCGCCATGGATTCAGGAGCGATATGTTGAGATCGTAAAGGAATATAAGGATAATAGGTCTAACGCAGCACCCGTGGAATACCTTGTATCAAAGTCTTTAAAGACCCTCTACAATGCCTTTTGGGCCTTGCCGAGGACCAGCGCCTATGATCTCCACAAGCCCGACATACTACACAATATCTACCTGGGACCATTGAGACACATGATGGAGTGGGTTCAGGGGTTTCTTAAGAAACACAATCGAATAGAGGAGTTTGATCGAGCTTGGTCCTCCATCGGGCCTTATCTAGGGCTCGCTGTGCCCAACAAAGCGTATCGAGCAACTACACAGTGGCAGGGTAAAGAAATGCGACATCTTGGCCGGATAGTTTTGGGAGCCTTTGCGGTGGCTTTACAAGCCCCTCCAATGGCGGCACGGAAAGACTTTAGTAGAGCTTTGCGGTGTGTACGAGCGTTGATTGACTTCCACCTCATGGCACTGTATACAACTCATACAAAGGAGACTCTAGAGTATCTCCAAAGCTATCGCGAAAACTTCCACAAGTATAAAGATGTATTTCTCGAATTCCGGGCCTATAAACGAACGAGGAAGGACGCCAAGGATCGAACAAAAGTACTTCAAGGCTCCGGAAGCCTTGAGAGAGGCCTAGAAGAGGTTCAAGAGATTCGGGAGGGGTCCCATTTTAATTTCATTAAGATGAATCTACTATCACACTTTAGAGAGCATGTGGAGCGATTCGGAAATATACCCATGTTTTCAACGGATGTCAGTGAGTTGGCTCATCGGCGGCAAATTAAGATGGCCTACACTGATTCGAATGAGGTAGATGCCACGGTCCAGATTCTTGATTACCACCCAAAGCGTATGGTGATGGAGATGAGAGTGTTGAACTTGAAACATATTGTTTTCTCCCTGCCCGAGCATTATGAGGGCCTGCCGAGCCATCGAGAAAGCTTGAGAGACCTATTGGAGATTTTCAAAAATGAAGACCAACAAAGAGGAGGCAGTGAGCGATTGCTGGACGGAGATGCACCACAGAAATCTAAGATGACGACGCCGGACAATTCGGCGACCCGGTTATCTGATATCGCAGACATTATCAAGATGAACAGGACTACACTTGCCAGGGCTGTATCGGAATATGGTCAGGGACTACAACGGGAAGAAGGAGGGTTATTGAGCCTTCTTGACTACCCAGTGAGGTATTTCAAATGCCTGCAGGTGCCAGTATCAGTGTTCCAAAAGAGTGATAGCTATGAGATACATAACATACGATGCACTGGAGAGGCTTTGTTCAGGAAAAGGGCAGTTCGGAATGATTGGGCTTGGATTAAGGTAGCTACTACGGACCCCTGGGGAGCATTTCAGGGACGTTTACCAGGGCACTTAAAGGCAATATTCAGACTACGTGATATCTTTACTAGAAAGACATATCAACTTTGCTTGGTTGAGCTGCTGGAGGCAAGGGACAGGGGCCTTCCTGAAGGCTCGCATGGACTTCTAAGAGTCGCGAGGCGCTCCCGGCAAAGATTTTGGATAATTAATACTCGTAGCGTCTTGGGAATGGCACATTTATTCGAATTGGGGCAGGGACAATGGCTGGTAAACACTAGAGTAGATTTAAGAACTTGGAACGAATTCCATATATAAGGTTAACGAGGGCTTAAGGAGCCTAGGCAAATGCTTCTGAAGACTGGTCCTCTTAAACGATATGTATATACATGGGCAATATAAGATTCAACAGATAAGAAATCCAAGGGCTGGTAAAGGCTCAAGTAAAAGTATTAGGTGTTAGGTTTTGTAACCAGTCGGGCGGCTTGAGAGATCAGGAATGGTGCGAGGGGCTTTTTGGAAAGCTCGAGGGGTCTGTTTGGGGTAGATTTTGGGTGGTTTAAGGGGCGCGTGAGGCACCTAGGGAGTGGCTAAGTGGGGCTTGAAGAGCGTTTGGGGGGCTCGAGAAGCCTATAGACTTACAAGACGAGTCGGGGCCTTGAGAGAGGTTGAGGGGGCTCAAGAGGCTTTTTGGGAGGCTCGCGGAGCCTGTTGGGGAGTGGTCTAAGAGTATCGAGTGGCTGGGGGGGGGTTGTGAGAAGCTCGAGAGACCCGCTGAAATGTCTAGGAAGCCTTTTAGAAGGCTCGAGAGGCCTGATTAAAGAGGAAGCGGGAGAGACTCAAGAGAAGAAATTGAGTTGGAGAGTTCTCCAGAGAGTGCTTGGTTACTCCGGGGCTCAACGGATTAGGCGAGGTGGTGAGGAGACATGGGAGGGGTAGGGAGACTAGTTGTCTTGGCATCAACCTCTGGAGAAAGGGACAATCCCCCGGAGGCGGATGCTAGCTTGCAGATGTACATCCTCCGAGCATGATAAGTCCGCCGGTAGTGGCAGGAACTATGCCTGGGGAAAGTCTACAATAAGTGAAGAGCTCTACAGCAATGATTAAGCTTACGCCTGAGCGGTAGCTCATTCATGCAGGTCCCGGTTGTGCGACAGCCAAGACTGCAGGTGTTACAAAGGCTTTGACTAAGGGTGGTTGCCTTCAGAACTGGGAGCACCCGCTAACACTTAGAGAGAAGTGGGGTAGCGGTGGTATTGGCTCCCTTCCGCTAGAAGGTATCGCCGGAACTTGGTAAGGAAGTAGGAGCAGCGGAACGGAATCCTTTGGAGTATAAGTACTCAGGATCCTTCCCGCCCAACTATCCGATTCCTGAGTCTTTATTAGAACTATCAAGTATATTCTACTCGGTAGCAGAGACCTTAAAGATTATTGAGTTATTAGCAATAAATCTTTTGGGAATAATCTAAACCTGATTTCTATCTTGCACAGCCACATCTTTCTATCGGATTCTAGCGATACGTGGAAAGACTGTTCCCGTTACAGATAATCTTTAGTGCTCAATCACCTTCAGATTATTCTTTCCTCTTACAACATGTCCACCCTCCTGGCTCCCCAAGTGCCTCTTCAGATAGAATGGCAACCGGCAGCCTTAGAATCCCAAGAGGATCAGACACAGTTGATCCACAAGCCCAGGACGGCGCTCCAGTCCTACATCCCCGGATGTGAGCCCACCTGGCAAGACACCCACAAAGTGTAACAGGGCCACAGTAGGGCTATTACAAAAGTACCTGTTCTACCAGTCAAGCCATACGGCCCTAGGGTAACCGCAGCTTGTTCCTCATCGATGGGTGAAGACAAGGGGCAGATGAGCCCCTACCTCTATTGGTATAGAGGGTAGGGATCCTAGCGAGCAAGAAGCCTTACAAGTCAAGCTAGGCGACTGGATCAAAACTAGAGCAGAAGGACGAGCATGCCAAATAAGGAAGGGTAACCCCAAACATAAGTTACCCTACCTTGGCAGCCAACCTTTGAGGCGCAATTCCTTTGCAACCGATGTCGGGAAAATATGCTTTACCACGTCAGAAAGGATCCTGTCGATGCTCCGGTCCATTTGGGGTGGTTGAATTAACGCATTGCGGAGTTGAGGAAACACTGCAAAATAAACACGTTTTAGACCCCCAAAAATAACCCCCAGAGCGTCGAACCGCCGGAACCCTCCTGTTTCAGTCCGGTGAATCTTTGGGGGGGAGTAAGAGTGCGACTCAAGCTACCAGAGCAAACCTTTGCTTTAAAAATACCCAAATCTATTCTAAATACTCTGAATGAGCAATTGCTGTCTGGTCGGCTGTTTCCGCTAGTTCCTAGGATCCCGACCCGTTCTTGGCAGAGATTGCGAGATTTGACTCGGACGAAAATTCGTCAGCGGTGTGGTAGCAACTCTTCTCTCCCCCCTCATAGAAAATAGTCGCTGTGCCCCCCCTGACTATTGGAAAGGCGGACGGCCAGTGAAAAAAAAAGGAAAGAAAGAACCTGAACAAGGGCGCCGAACTTTCATAAAAGAACTCGGTTGCCCCAGGTTGGCCTCGGGGGATCTAGCGAATCTTTACTAGTGAGGAGACCCTTTAAAGTTATTAAGTTTCTAGACTACAAATAACGATCAAACAAATAAACTCTATCTTTCCATCGAACGAGCCCAATCATAACTTGTTCTATTCCTTCTTACCATATCTGCCTAATCAAAGTCACCGTCGTGCCCAATCATGGCACCCCCGTAACAGCAACTCCCACTTTGGCACCCAGACAGAACGAATCCCAGTGGGCGCCCACGGCATCCCACAGACCCACTCGGGCACCCAGAGAGAAAGCATCTCAAAGATCATCCCCGGCATCTCAGGGAGCATTCTCGGCATCTCAGAGAGCACCTCCGATATCCTCACAGTCCATGCCTTCTTCTATACCTGTTTATTCTCGCGATATTGACTACAGCTCTTCTTCACGACACATCGATCTTTCCTCGATGCGTTCGAGGTACGGCGATTCCTCACCCACTTACCACCCTTATAGTTCCTCCTGCCTCTTGAAGGCATTGGCGAGAGCTCCATGAGCAGTCCCCGGATTCCCTCAAGTCCTCAGGTTTATTTACCAGAAACGCAACCAAGAGTCTACGATATTGCACAGCTTTCATCGTCTATTAGGGAAGGAAATGCTCCTATAGCAGGAAGCAAGGTTAGTAGTATTCCAGATAGCATTGACGACCGCTTTGAGAGTACAGTTAACATTTATGCGAGCAACCTATCGCAGAGATCCCTATTACCTAGCTCGAGGAGTGCAAACGTTCTCTCAATGCAGGCCCAGAGGATTGAGAAGGAGTGCAGCACGCTAATCGGGGACAACACTCTTCTACATAAGCCTTTTCCACCTGCAGCGAGGCTTTCGGTACTCGTAGTGAGCATGTGGGCAGCTGCCAGTCACAGGGTGGGATGTACAGTAGATCTCGACGAGGTCATTATGAAACATGTGAATGCCCTTGAAACGTTGCCGAGTGCTCTGGAAGCATAATTGACAACGATAGGTCAGAAGTCTACACTCCCGGGTCCGTTCGCACTTGATGCACGAGGTTAAAGGGCGGCTGGCGGATTCAACCATCTATGGGCTTGTGTAATGGAGCCACTTCAACTGTCTGGTGTATGAGTACACGCAGGGCCCGGTTACATGCTGAGAGCTATTGTTGGAAGCCAGTTGCACAGTAACATGCAAGTACCGGCAGTGTGGTTAGCTACCAGCTGTCAGAGTAACTACATTCTGAGCGCTAGGAAGAGGATCTATTCATGGGGGTAATGACTGACGAGTCTATGTCTCGACAATGATTAGAAGGCCAGCCAGAGTGAAGCTCTGAGTGCTCGGCAATCCTTTATATCCTCTGAGCATGATAAGCCCGCCGGTAGTGGAAAGGGACTATGCCTGGGAAGTCTACAATAAGCGAAGAGCTCTACAGCAATGATTAAGCTTACGCCTGAGCCGTAGCTCATTCATGCAGGTCCCGGTTATGTGACAACCAAGACTACAGGTATTACAAAGGCTTTGACTAAGGATGGTTGCCTTCGGAACCGGAAGCACCCGCTAACGCTTAGAGAGAAGCGGGGTAGCGATGGTATTGCTTCCCTTCCGCTAGAAGGTACTACCGGTACTTAATAAGGAAGTAGAAGCAGCAGAACGGAATCCTTTGGAGTATAAGTACTCAGGATCCTTCCCGCCCAACTGTCTGATTTTCCAGTCTTCAGAACTATCAAGTACCTCCTACTCGGTAGCAGAGCCCTTAAAGATTATTGAGTTCTAGCGATAGTATCTTTGAATAAATCTGCACCTGATTTCTATCTTGCACGGCCGCAACTATTCTATTGGATTCTAGCGATACATAGAAAGACTGCCCCCATTACAGATAATCTTTAAGGCTCAAATCACCTTCAGATTATTCTTCCTCCTACAACATGTCCACCCTCCCGGCTCTTCAAGTGCCCCTTCTGTAACGGGGGTGCCTTGAATGATACACGACCGTGACTTCGATGTAACGGGGGTGCCTTGAAAGGGCGCGACCGTGACTTCGATCAGGTAGATAGGCAGAAAGGAATACGACAAGCTATCCTTTCGGCTCGTTTGATGGAAAGATAGATTTTCATTTGTTTGATCGTTATTTGTAGTCTAGAAACTTAATAACTTTAAGGGGGCTCCTCGCTGGTAAAGACTCGCTGATCCCCCGAGACCAAGCTGGGGCAACCGAGTTCCTTTATGGAAGTTCGGCGCCCCTCCCTTCATTCCCTCTTTCCTTTTTTCACTGGCCGTCCCCGCCTTTCAAATAATCTGGGGGCACCGCCTATTTTCTATCAGGGGGGAGGAGAAGAGTTGCTACCACACCGCGGACGAATTTTCGTCCGAGTCAAATCTCGCAATCCTTGCCAAGAAAGGGTCGGGATCCTAGGAACTAGAGGAAACAGCCGACCAGACAGCAATTGCTTATTCAGAGTATTTAGAATAGATTTGGGTGTTTTTAAAGCAAAGGTTTGCTTTGGTAGTTTGGGTCGCACTCTTACTCCCCCCAAAGATGCACCGGGCTGAAACAGGAGGGTTCCGGTGGTTCGACGCTCCGGGGGTTATTTTTGGGGGTCTAAAACGTGTTTATTTTGCAGTGTTTCCTCAACTCCGCAATGCGTTCATTCAACCACCCCAAATGGACCGGAGCATCGCCAGGATCCTTTCTGACGTGGTAAAGCATATTTTCCGGGCATCGGTTGCAAAGTTATTGTGCCTCAAAGGTTGAATGCCAAGGTAGGGTAACTTATGTTTGGGGTTACCCTTCCTTATTTGGCCTGCTCGTCCTGCTGCTCTAGTTTTGGTCCAGTCGTCTAGCTTGACTTGTAAGACTTCTTGCTCGCCAGGATCTCTACCCTCTATACCAATAGAGGTAGGGGCTCATCTGCCCTTGTCTTCACCCATCGATGAAGAACCAGCTGCGGTTAACCTAGGGCCGTATGGCTTGACTGGTAGAACAGGTATTTTTGTAACAGCCCTACTGTGGCCCTGTTACACTACTCCTCCCTCCGGTAGACTCGTCCCGAGTCTAACCTAGGGTTTTTTGGTATGGTACGTTATGAGCATACAAGAAAATGTAGCTCTAATAATCATTCCATACAAACTAAATGTAACGGGGACAGCCTTTCCTCGTATCGCTAGAATCCGAGAGAAAGGATTTGGCCGTGCAAGATAGAAATCAGGAAATCGGATAGTTGGGCGGGAAGGATCCTGAGTACTTATACTCCAAAGGATTCCATTCCCTGCTCCTACTCCCTTACTAAGTTCTGGTGATCCCTTCTAGCGGAAGGGAAGCAATACCACCGCTACCCCGCTTCTCTCTAAGCGTTAGCGGATGCTTCCGGTTCCGAAGGCAACCACCCTTAGTCAAAGCCTTTGTAACACCTGCAGTCTTGATTACCGCACAACCGGGACCTGCATGAATGAGCTACCGCTCAGGCGTAAGCTTAATCATTGCTGTAGAGCTCTTCTCTTATTGTAGACTTTCCCAGGCATAGTCCCTGCCACTACCGGCGGACTTATCATGCTCAGAGGATGTAGAGGATCGCCGAGCACTCAGAGCTTCACTCTGGCTGGCCTTCTAATCATTGGCGAGGCATAGACTCGTCAATCATTGCTCCCATGAATAGATCCTCTTCCTAGCGCTCAGAATGTAGTTACTCTGACAGCTGGTAGCTAACCACACTGCCGGTACTTGCATGTCACTGTGCAACTGGCTTCTATCAATAACTCTCAGCATGTAACCGGGCCCTGTGTGTACTCATACACCAGACAGTTGAAATGGCTCCGTTACACTTTATTTTCTGCATCCATTTCTATTGACAAAGGAAACCTCAAGTGAAACGTGTGACCTAACAAGGGGAGACTCGTTTTCTCCACGCTTATCCCAGAACACTCCGTCGTCTCGGTTTCCTGCACTTTCCTGTATTGCCATGCGTCCCGTGATTTTCGGGGATACTTCGCATGGAACTCTCGGAGTGGCTCGTCTGCCATTCCTTACAACAATTTGTACGGTTCCCAAGAGTTTTCTGAGAGATAACCCTCCCAGGTAATCCGATATTGCACGAACTTCTTCCCACGACCAGCCTGCTGCCATTGGCTATCGGCTATTTTCTTGAGAACGTAACTGTCTTCCCCTTGAACCTCATCCGGAGGTGGAAGCAGTATAGCTCGTTGAGGGTCCAGCAGAGATATATGGAAGATATCATGAATGTTCCACTGAGCGGGTAGATTCAGCCTGTAGGACGCGACGCCAAGTTTCCCGACAACCTCAAAGGGACCCAAATTTTTTTTGGTGGTCTAGCTTATTTGAGGGTCACTTGGTTAAGATGTTGCGTCGGTCCAGCATCACCTCGTCCCTAACCTTCAGTTCTGGAGCACTCATCTGTTTCTGATCATACCATTTTTTCTGCTGTGCTTGTGCCGCGCTGGACGCGTCGAAGTTGTCTAGTTTCCGTTTAAGTGAGGGCCAAGTGGAATCTGGTTGAAACCCATAGTTCGCGTAGAATGGCGATGCTTTGGTTGACTCTTGGGTGGCCGTGTTGTAGGCGTACTTGGCAAGTGGGAGTAGCTCTGCCCAATCGTCCCGCTGACAGAAGCAATAGTTTTTTGAGATACTGTTCTAGCGTTTGGTTGACTCTCTCAGTTTGCCCGTCAGTTTGAGGACGATATGTTTCGAATCTAGAGTCCTGATCGGAGATAATCTCCTCAGGAAGTCCATGCCGTCGCCATATCTCCCGGAGGAAGATTTGAGCAAGTTCTTCGATGGTTGCTTTGGTGATAAAGTCCATTGAAATGGAACTCCAAGGCATAGAGAGGACCTCTAAAGGTTGCAACATCCCATTCTTCTTGTGTGTTTGAGGCTTTAGCGCGTTGACATGTATCGCAACTCCGAACGTATTCTTCCACATCGTTGTCCATCTTTGGGCAAAGGACAGTGCCCGAAGGCGTTCTGCCGTTTTGAATTGTCCAAAGTGACCAGCAGTCTTCGAATCATGTAGGGCGCTCAGGATCTTGAGCTTCAGTTCCCGATGATTTGGAATGTATCACCTTTCCTTATAGAAGACGTGTCCGTCCTTTAAAGTCAGGTATCGGTTCACCAGATTCCCAGAGGTGTTCTCAATGGCTTTTTTCAAGGAAAGGTACTCTGGATCTCAGGCTGCTTGAGCCCAGATTTCATCCAGGAGCACCGGTGTGAGTTTGCAGACTTGGGCTGATCTTGCACATGCTGAGTTGATCATAACGATCGGGTGTTGGACAGAACCCATTCTTCTTGTCCTGGCTTAAACAAGAATCTCAAGGTCTTGATGAGCCTTACCCCCCTCTGTAAGGGCGTGGTCCCAACGCCGCGACAAGATGTCTGGTTTGGCGTTTAGTTTTCCAGGGCGGTATACAACTTTGAAGTCAAACTCCACGAGGTTGGCCGCCCATCGAGCTTATCTCGGTTTCAGCGCTCCTTTTTTTTGCTGGTTGGTGACGACCGTGACCGTATCTTTGTAGGAACGCAGAAGGTGACTCCGGGGGTGGTGTACCTCTATGGGATTCCGGGGACAACCCCTTGGCGAACCCAGGCTGGAGGAAGCCCAGAGGTGTAACGGGGGTAAAGCGAGCCCAACTCATGCCTAGGTTCGGAAAATATGGGAACTGAGGATCTTATCATCCACTAACTGACCCTTATAGCCAGTCTTTCACATCAGCTGAATAATGCTATTCAGGAAGGAGTCTATTCCCGCCTTGGCTGTGAGGGTAAGGGCCTTCCATTGGGCTACCGCATCATCCCTAGAGATAGCTTCGCCAAAGGCTGCTCTGAGAGCATCCACAAAGGAATCCCAGCACTTCCATTTCTCATCTAACACCACAGACATCCCAGCTATCCGGTTGGCAGAAGCTTGGTCAATGGAGTTGTGGTAAGCCTCATACCACTTGGCCGGGGCATCTCCTTCCATCAGGTTACCAGCATATCGGATCCTAACTTCTTCGGAGGTAAAGAACTGGCTTTCAATGGAGAAGACATTCTCACATTGCCTGATGAAGGTCTCCACATTGTTTGCTTTGCCATTGAACTTGGCCTGAGGGTGTGCCTTTGATTCTCGGGCTCTGGAGGCAGCGGAGGGGTGTGAGGGGGCCGGAGGTCTCATGAACTGTGTCATGGAGGCCAGGAGCTCTCTCTGCTGCTTCTCCAGCATCTTCCTGAGGTATCTCCGCCATCCTCTTCTATCTCCATACTCAGGCTCCGAATCTGAACTATCTGAGTCCCCTCCCGGGTTGGGATCACCACCAACCGGGGGGACTATTCCATTTCGTCCACCATTACCCGCTGGTTCTGGGTTCTGGTTTTCTCCACCGGGGGTTTCCCTCCGGCTGGAGGTTTCCCCCCGGCCCGGCTGGAGGTTCCTCCTGGGAGACTTCGCTCATTGAAGCATGACACAATGGCACCTAACTCCTTGTCGTGAACGTCATAATTCCGTTCGGCTTGTGACATCATTTTGGAGTAAAAGACTCCTGGATACCACTTGTTGTCATCTCGGTGGAATTGGGACGGTATGCTAGATTTAGCGAAGTTGGAGGCATCGGTCTCAATCTTGGTAGCTAGCTCGGCATCAAAGTGGGCTAGTACGGGGGCGGATGGAAGGCCTCTTTCAGGACTTCAAATGCATGCTCCTATCTCTCATACCAGGTAAACGCGGTGTCCTTGTCTCTTTCCACGGTTAGTGCCGGGTTCGGTTAAAGCCGGACCGAACTCCTGATTCGGCTAACCACGCTGATTCTCGGAACTGGAATAGGAGTTCGCTTATAAAAGCGGGGTATCCGTCGAACTAAGGAGGGTAAGAATTCTTTTCCTTCTATTCATTCTACACTCCAGGGAGTTCGATCTTTCCACACCCAACACCAAATTTATCACCTCCTTTCAGCAATAATGTTTTTCTTTATTCTATTCCTCTCTTTGTTCATTGCGATCAATTCGTCTATTGTACAAGCGTTTTTATCTAACGCTAGTCGATCTCGGCGGGGGACAAGGCTTAGATCCTCAACTGGTGCGGTTGTTACTGATCTCCTGGAGCTGGATGGTGGTAACACCATCTACGCTCGGAGAGTTGCTCGTAAAGCCGTCCGATCACGGAGTGCTATGAGGTAGGCATGATCCAGCGAGTTGTGTAACCTCTTCTTACTACCGCTAATGCTTGCACAGGCATGCTGTTCCTCGGGGTTTGGAGACCTCGACCTTCGATGGCCATTTCAACCAGGTCCCATTTCTGACTCGGGAGGATTACCGTCGTCCTTATCCCTTCTCCCAACCAGGGGACAGAAGTGTTGGTCAGGCTCGTGTCCGTGCGGCACTGATGGAGAAACGGGAACAGGTGCGGTGGATGCGGGATGAGATTGCGCGAGATGGAAGGGGAGCTGAGTGGATGCGGCAGCGAGTGGTCCAAGAAGAGGCAAGGGAGAGACAAAGACTGGCTCTCCAAGCATATTACGAGGCATGGTGGCGCCAGAAGAAAGCCAGTTATCCTCCTCTTCCGGACTCTTCCTGCCATCATCGTGGACGGAGTAACGTTGACTTTGGTTGGGACTGGGGCCCAGATGGGGAATGGGGCCCGTTGGTCAATGGGACTATCAGGATTTTCTAGGAGCGATCCTGGATGTGGTCTCCTTTCCGAGCGAAGCTGGGCGCTATAACCCTTTGAGCGAATGTGGGCGCTATAACCCTTTGAGCGAATGTGGGCGCTATAACCCTCTGACGGATACAGTGGAGACCATAGTAAAGTGTTAGCCTCTCCCATGCTAGCCTGAGCTGAAAAAAAAAAGCTAACTGCTCGGTTATTTCAGCATTGAAAGTGGTCCTAGGTGTTCAGGTAGGTTTTTTTCTTTCTTGTGGGGTTCTTTAAGCGAGGAGCTTAAAGTTATACTGTAACGGGGGTGCCTTGAATGATACACGACCGTGACTTCGATGTAACGGGGGTGCCTTGAAAGGGCGCGACCGTGACTTCGATCAGGTAGATAGGCAGAAAGGAATACGACAAGCTATCCTTTCGGCTCGTTCGATGGAAAGATAGATTTTCATTTGTTTGATCGTTATTTGTAGTCTAGAAACTTAATAACTTTAAGGGGGCTCCTCGCTGGTAAAGACTCGCTGATCCCCCGAGACCAAGCTGGGGCAACCGAGTTCCTTTATGGAAGTTCGGCGCCCCTCCCTTCATTCCCTCTTTCCTTTTTTCACTGGCCGTCCCCGCCTTTCAAATAATCTGGGGGCACCGCCTATTTTCTATCAGGGGGGAGGAGAAGAGTTGCTACCACACCGCGGACGAATTTTCGTCCGAGTCAAATCTCGCAATCCTTGCCAAGAAAGGGTCGGGATCCTAGGAACTAGAGGAAACAGCCGACCAGACAGCAATTGCTTATTCAGAGTATTTAGAATAGATTTGGGTGTTTTTAAAGCAAAGGTTTGCTTTGGTAGTTTGGGTCGCACTCTTACTCCCCCCAAAGATGCACCGGGCTGAAACAGGAGGGTTCCGGTGGTTCGACGCTCCGGGGGTTATTTTTGGGGGTCTAAAACGTGTTTATTTTGCAGTGTTTCCTCAACTCCGCAATGCGTTCATTCAACCACCCCAAATGGACCGGAGCATCGCCAGGATCCTTTCTGACGTGGTAAAGCATATTTTCCGGGCATCGGTTGCAAAGTTATTGTGCCTCAAAGGTTGAATGCCAAGGTAGGGTAACTTATGTTTGGGGTTACCCTTCCTTATTTGGCCTGCTCGTCCTGCTGCTCTAGTTTTGGTCCAGTCGTCTAGCTTGACCTGTAAGACTTCTTGCTCGCCAGGATCTCTACCCTCTATACCAATAGAGGTAGGGGCTCATCTGCCCTTGTCTTCACCCATCGATGAAGAACCAGCTGCGGTTAACCTAGGGCCGTATGGCTTGACTGGTAGAACAGGTATTTTTGTAACAGCCCTACTGTGGCCCTGTTACACCTTCAAATCGAATGGCAGACGGCAGCCTTAGAATTCCAAGAAGGTCAGACACAGTTGATCCACAAGCCCAGGACGGCGCTCCAGTCCTACATCCCTGGATGTGAGCCCACCTGGCAAGATACCGACGAAGTCACCCTACAGCACTTCTTTGTGGAACTGCAGAGCTACCTTAAGCACAGCCTGCACCAGGAAGTCATCAAGGTCGGCAATGCGATAGCTTTGGTGCAAGAAAGACAAGAAGCGGAGGCAGTCCTGCTCAGGGATGCCTTCGGCTACATCCGAGAACAGGTCTCCTCAGTCCAGGCACTGTAACGGGGGCAGTCTTTCGATGTATCGCTAGAATCCAATAGAATAGTTGCGGCCATGCAAGATAGAAATCAGGTGCAGATTCATTCAAAGATACTATTGCTAGAACTCAATAATCTTTAAGGGCCCTGCTACCGAGTAGGAGGTACTTGATAGTTCTGAAGACTGGAGAATCAGATAGTTGGGCTGGCAGGATCCTGAGTACTTATACTCCAAAGGATTCCGTTCCCTGCTCCTACTTCCTTACTAAGTTCCGGTGACTCTTTCTAGCGAAGAGGAAACAATACCTGCGCTACCCCGCTTCTCTCTAAGCGTTAGCGGGTGTTTTCAGTTCCGAAGGCAACCACCCTTAGTCAAAGCCTTTGTAACACCTGCAGTCTTAGTTGTCGCACAACCGGGACCTGCATGAATGAGCTGCCGCCCAGGTGTAAGCTTAATTATTGCTGTAGAACTCATCGCTTATTGTAGACTTCCCAGACAGGGTCCTTGCCACTACTGGCAGACTTATCATGTTAAGAGGATGTAGAGGATCGCCGAGCACTCAGAGCTTCACTCTGGCTGTGTAACGGAGCCATTTCAACTGTCTGGTGTATGAGTACACACAGGGCCCGGTTACATGCTGAGAGTTATTGTTA